GGTTCATTAAGGCAAAGCTAATTTCTCTTGGTTGAAAGAATAGACTCTAAGTTCTACCTCTGGCCTTGGGTGGAGACATAAAACATTACTCACTATTGTCTCCTCTTTTATTTATTTATTTATTTATTTATTTCTGGTCTTTTTGAGACGGTCTCCCTGTGGTCCCAGCTGGCCTGGAACTCACTATGTAGGCCAGGCTGGCCTTGAACTCACAGAGATCCACCTGCCTCTGCCTCCCAAATGCTGTGATTAAAGGCGTGTGCCACCACACCCTTTTAATTTTGCTGATTTTTCTGGTGCTGAGACATTCTAAATGGAGATATTAAGCAAGTCGTTAGCAACTTGAGCATTAAAGAGATAAAAGCAGAAATAAATACCCAAAAACCAAGAGCTAGAAATGTGGTGTTTTATAAAGGACTTTAGAAAGTCCTTTATAAACATCCTGCCAGGTTTTCTAGAAGACCTGGGTGCAAGTCTAGGAAAAACCTATAGAGGTATTTATGTATCACATACTGCTGACGTGAACCTGCACAGCAAGCAAGAAGGCGTAGGTAGACATGTCACCTATCAGTCAGTAAAGGTACTCCAAAGGACAGAAGGCTTCTTGAGATACTTGGAGGTTCACAGCAATTAATTCTATGGCAAATCATAGTGATCATCTTCATAAATGAACAGATAGTTTTATGTCCGTAATCAAGAAAGAATGCAGATTTCCACACAAGCATTAGCTACAGTTACAGCAAGAAAAAAATCAACAGGTCCAGGGGCCGGAGAATGTAAAATCTGTTACACAGATTTTTTTCATTTAAAGCATTCAACTTTAAAAGACAAATAAAATCCTTTGAAGATTAAGATACATGCAAAGAAACAGTAATTTATATATACATACACACACGCCAAAGAAAATAAGCAGTAGATTTTCTTGAAGAAACAAAAATACTGACTTTTCATAAAAAAATTAAATTGGCAGTTATGATGCTGGATCTTAGTCCCTTTTCAACTGTGTATTTTGCTAAAAGGCAATGGTCATTGGTTTGTAAAATGTGCAAACTCTTTGGAGTATATCTTAACAAGCCATTGAAATAACGAAGCAATATATATTTTTTAAGTCCTCACAATTGGGGCTCGAGAGATCGTTCAGTAGTTAATAGGACTGGATGCTCTTGTAGAGGACCCAGGATTGATTTCCAGTACCCACATAGCAGCTAACAACCACCAGTAACTTCATTTCCAGAAGAATCTGACTCCCCCTTTTGACCTCTGGGGACACTGCACTACACGGGTGCACTTACATACATGCAGGCAATACACTCTTACATAAAAATAAAAATAATAAATAAAATATTTTAAAATATTCTTTAAATGTCCTCACAATCGCTAAACAAGGTGTCTCAGTGCTTAAACGCACCTGCCGCCAAGCCTGATGACCTGAGTTTGAGTCCCAGGACTCACATGGTAGAAGAAAAGAACTGACTCCTGAGAGTGTTCCTCCTCTCTCCCTCCACACATGTGCAGTGGCACGAGGCTATCCACACACATCCATTCTCGCCACCTCCACAAAAATAAGCAAATGTAATAAGAATTTAAGTAAAAATTAAAGGTTCTGTTATCAAAAAGATATGTAATACAAAATGTTAGAGGAATGTGGAGGAAAAAGGACACTTATATTATTGGTGGGAATGTAAAATCACATAACCATTATGGAAAATATTATGGAAGTTTTATTATGGAAAGGTAACAATAAAACTGCTATGAAATGCAGGAATCTTATTCCTGAATTTTTATCCACACGAGATAAAATTTGTATGTTAAGCAGAAATTTTTGTATCAAATATATGTTTAGATGTCTGTATTGGTTACATTTTTCAGTGTTTTCAGCAAGTATTTGACATGAAAGAACTATAAGAATGCAGGGCATATTTTAGTTCAGAGCTTGAAGGTGCAATCAGTTACAGTTGGGAAGTTGTGCCTGCCAGGAGTTTGAGGCAGCTCATCACATGAGTTCACAGTCAGGAAGCAGAGAGAGATGGATGCTGATGCTTCACTTGCTGTTTCCTTTTTCTTCTGGTCTAGGACCCAAACTCATACAATAGAGCCATTCACATTTAGAGTGAGTCCTTCCAACACAAATAACCAAATGTAGAAATTCCTCACAAAGGTTTCAAGTTTTGTCTCTTAGATGATTATAGAACCAGTCATGTTGACAATTAATATTAACCCTCATAAAATCTCTAATAGTTTAGTATTTTATAAATACTTTCCCAATAAATACTGATAAAGAAATGAATAGTATATAATTTTGCTATAAATTCTTGCTTAGTTCTCAGTTTATAAGACTTTGATAACATAACATCCAAGGCTTCAACCAGTGCTTGGTAACTTCAGTGATAAAATTTGGGTAAAGATGGATTAATTTAAAAAACATTCAAAATGGATTCAGGAGGTATAATCAGACTTACTGTCCAAACATAAAAGGACTTGAATCTTCAAACCAATAAGGTATGAACCTAACAACCTTTAGGACTTCTTATATTCTGAAATCACTGTGGTCATGGTATGTGGATTTACATCAAAGTAATTTCTTGTTGAATTAAACAGGTCTTTCTCTTGCTTATTGTTTCCAATACTCCTGAAATTAAAAATTTTCAGGTAATTTTGTTATTCAGTATTTCTGAATTTTTTACTTTTATACAAATTGTACAAATATTGAGATCAATGATATTTGTTTGATAAAGTATTATTCTTCACTACTTATTAATGTAACACAGTCATGTGTTTTTATTTAAAATTTGGATTTTCTGCTGTTTTTGTTTCTTATTAATTTTGTAAAGAAGCCATTTTTCTTTTCTGATTGTAATTCTACTAACTGAACACAAGGGTTGGTTATGTTTTATTCAGAAGTTATCTTACAAATTTGCACACAGGTAAAAATTCAGTGTAAATTCATTGAACTTTGTCGTTTAGCATTGAAAATACGTTTACTTTTGCTTGTGTTTTATATGTCTTGTTATGCAGAGCCAATTGTGAATGCAGTAACATCAAATTTTTAAAGAATTATTGTTTTTTTTAAATTATGTGTATTTATCGTGTATGTCCTTGTGTACAATTACCTGTGAGGGATAAAAGAGGGCATCATTTCTCCTGGAACTTGTGGTTGTGAGATGTCTGATGTAGGAGCTGGGAACTGAACTTGGGTCATCTGCAAGAGCTGTACATGCTTGTAACTTCTGAATTACTTTTCTAGGCCCATAAAATTGAATTTTAGAAAATAGGTGATTGTGCAGATTTCCTAAGCCAGAAAATAATGCAAAACAGTGTATTACTTATGGCTGATTTCTAAAATACATACAAGTTGCTCTCTCAGTCCTTTAAGACTAATATTGATATTGAAATATGACTATGTTTTCTTGTGAGTTTTAAAAGGAGGCTACTTTGATCTGGTGAATCATGATGGAACTATGTATATATGCATATGCTGATGATCTTCATGTATGTTTCTGTGCAGGGTGATATCCAGCAGTTCTTAATCACAGATGACCCAAAGGCAGCATACGACTACTGTGACCATTACAGTCCCGATTGTGACTCCTCAGCATCCAAAGCTGCTCAGGCTCAGGAACCGCAGGTAGATGAGGTGAGTCATGCAGGGATCAGGGGGAGCTCTGATGCAACGATGTGCACACGACCTGCATTTCTAAAATAAGCTTATTTTGTTTTGTAAACATGCTTTTGATTAGTAGTTTTTGATATTTTGAGGAAGAAGGGACTCGAATTTACTTTGAATTTTTTTTTCCTCCTCTTAAACATTCTGTGACTTAATTTTGTTACAAATATCCTCCTTGTATACTGTATATATGAGCATACTCTATTTTAGGGGAGGTTGATTTCTTTAAGACTACTTCTTCCCTTTACATTTCAACAGTTCATACCTCCTAAGAGTAAATGTCTCTTAGTGTACTGGCCATTTTCCAAGCTTTGTCAGTTCCTACAGATGAGAAAGGACTTTGAAATTTGTCTTAAGGTTTCCTGGCTTTGTTGAAAAATGATAGAGTATTTTTTTTCTTTTTCTAATTTTTCTCATAGGGAAGCAAGGAAATCAAACAGGAAATAGTTTAGGCTTTAATTGGGAGAAAAACAGTGTTATCAGATTTTAATGTTTATTCAACTTGTAAAAGGGGATTAGAATTTGAGAACAAAATACTATTTTAAAAGTAACTCAAGTAGTATGTATCTTTTTAAGAAAATTATTGATTCAAGAATTCCGTACAGTGTATTTTGATAGTATTCAGATTCTCTCCCCCCATTTCCAGCCCTACCTTACATCACCACAGCCAATTTCATGTTCTCTATTGTTATTTGCCTTTAAAAAAACAAAACAAAACAAAAACTATCTGTGTTTCTCAGTTCTCACAGGTGCAGTTTACCCCTTGGAGTCTGGTCAGCCCATGACTATTCAATGCTACAAATCAAATTTTAACAATTAGGAATAAATTGAGATCTTATTTCAGTTATTATTATAACTGGTGCAAATTCAGGTTGCTTTCTACAGCTCAAAATTATAAAATTTTGATACTATTTTATTTTTAATATATTCTGATGAATTCTGCTACATTAATCTTTCCCTTAGTATGAATGTAGTTTCTTTTATTAGACACTTAATATTAACTATTAGTGTCATTTTTAAAACAGGGCAAAGTGTTATGATACCAATTGGAAAATCAATCAAAGTGAAAAGTAAATAACTCTGGGATGTTTTGTCTATTTCTTGGGTCTTATGCGCCTCATTTCTTTCTATTGGGATTCAATAAATATGTTTTTAATGGTATCCATGGTAATAGGAGAAATAACCATTAGTTTCAAGTTTTTATAGGTGACAGGTCAAATCAGTGTTCAAGACTAATTAGGTTTATTTTTTATTTGCTACTATTTCTAACAAAGAAAGCTTATTCTGTTTAGCAAGTATATGACCCTGAATTTTAGGAAAAGAAAGATGGGTATTTTTAATATATCATCTTAATGGTGTTTTCTTCCCAGTTATTATCTCTACACTTATCTTAGGCAAAATGCCAAGAAGCAATCCAGATATTATCTCTATAACTTTAGTTAAATTGAGATATCTTGAAATGCAATAATTTTTTATCCAATTTCTTAAGTTCATTTAAAAGTAAACATTTTATTTCAGTTGTTGAAATGTATGCTGAACACACTGTTAAGATGTCAAATATGCTTTTACTAGGATCATTTGATGAGAAAATAAACCACTTCTCTTAGTAGAAACTAAGAAAATCCTGTGACGTAAGGGGTAACAGGTGTTCCCAGTTTCTGTGCTGAGTGTGTCACAAAGAAGAGTTTAACTCTAATTTTTTCAGGAACAATCAGCTCTTACTTTCCCCATATGTTACATTGACATTTGAATGTGATAAGCCTTCTATAACAGTTTTATAAAAATGAAATTATTAAACAGTATTTATATTAATTTTGAACTGCAGCCATTAATTTGTCATTATATTCCGAATATGCATTTTAATAGTTGACTTTAGGTCATCCAACTAAACAAAATCAGAATGCAGTGTTATTTGTTCTTGAATAAATAACAAAGTGCAACATGGAGCATTTATCAGACATATTTTTTAATGTTGCATATTTATAAACTAACTCAATTACGTTTTTCTCACTTGTTTGTTATCTTTAACATATCTAATCTATTCAAAAAATGTAATCGATTGTCTGCCTGCCAGATTTGATATCCTCATCATGCAATGAGAGATGTATACAAGAGATAGCTCAGAATTAACACTATCACATTTCAGCTGTATTTTAATTTCCGTGATACGGAAATGTAAATGAGTTGAAACTGTGTGTCGTTTGGATACTCTGAAATGCCAAATTATCTTCCTAATATAAAATATTAGATACTGAATTCACACGATTCCTTCTTAATATATCACACATATTATAATTCTTTTCAAACAAAAGGCAATTGCTAACTTTTTTTTTTATATAAAGGATTGAAATGGAAGATAAAGACAGTCTTTTACATAAAGGAATTTAAGAAATGCCTGACTTTCCAACATGGATGGCTTCTATCAATTTATCATTAGTATTTGTTTTCTATGATAGTTCTCATGCAGGCACGAGTTTTCACAGCCTGCCATTTTCAGTAGGAAATTCATCCCCACCACAGTTCCTAATTTCCAATGGAATGCTCACAGAGCAGAATTGAGCTTATCCATACATCATGCCATGCGTTTTTGCTCACATTCACCTCATTGATTATGTGTCGTTCTTTCTTTTCTTTTCATTTTCAAGCTGTTTTTAAAATTCTGTAGTGAGAACAAAAACATCCTCCAAAGTGCAGTTTGTAGCATCACATAGGCCAGGCTTAACCCAAGTCAACTGAAATGTTGAGGGAGACGCTAGGCAGGTAAGGAAAAGGGAGAGCAGAGAGCGGTCCTTTTCACCGACTCCAGTGCAAGCCATAGAAAAAGATGTTCGCCAGGGCCTGGGAGCACACCTGCTGCCTCTTTCTCTTCCCACTAGCATCCTGGAGATCTCATTTGTATGGAGATCCATATGCAGAGAATGAAGAAGATCAGAAAGAATGAAAATGAAAAAATGACATAAAATGACATAAAATGGTAACTAGCAAATGTTCACAGATACATTTCTGAAATCCAGACCTTTACATAACTGTGTCTATATTGTTCATCTTTGGAGCTGGTTAATCATTACTTTCTTGCTTTTTTTGCATAATAAGTGAACGTTTTTGAAAAATTCTGCTTACTTTTAAAGCTCTAAGAAATCAAATAAACTTGAAATATTTTTTTCCTTCCTTATTTTTGTTCAGGCCAAGAGTGAGTAGTTACATACAGACATTATTTCTTTTTTAGAATATACTTTTACTGAATTTTTATGGATTTCCTACAATACATCTTAGTCATATTTAGTCCTCCCTTCACTATCTGCAACCCCCACTTTTCTGGCTCACAAGACTTTATGCATTTATCACTCCCTTAAAGTAGATCAACTCTCCCTCACTCAGCAGTGATCAGATTTTTTATGGTTACATGAACGAATGTAATTACACAAACATTATTCTTCAGACAACATTCGATCTCATTTAATATATGCTTAATAAATAGCTAAATTTGATGCAAAATTCTTTGTCTATTACTTGCATTAAAGCTGGAAATGGTGGTTATATGCCTGTTATTCCAGTATTTGGAAAGTGGAGGCAGGAGGAACAGGAGATCAAGGCCAGTTTTGGGTATCTAGCAAGTTTGAGGCTGGCCTTGGCTGCATGAGGCCCTCTCTAAAGAAACTGAATTACAACAAGCAGATTAATAAAGATTAACTTGCTTGGTAGTTTCAGATATTTTATCTAGTTTCTAAAAGTATCATATGTGTTTAATGTGCTGTCTATATGCATTTTTATATTTTACCAAGTCCTAATGAATCTTTATTGATTTTATCAAATTGGTATTTGACACTCATAAGGGCATTAAAGGAATTCTTGTGGTTATATTCCATTATTACCTTTAACTGAATCACCTAGAAACATTCACTTGAGTGTATGTCACTAAATAGTAGGTGTGCAAAATTGCCACAGGACCAGTTTGGACCTGCCTCATGGGGAACTGTGATCACATTTATGTTGTTATGTAGAATGGAGCTGAGCAGGGCTACTGTGATCACAGTTCTCCAAAAGGTTTGTAGGCACCAGTTGCCTGGCTGGCCGATGAGAAGCCAAGGGAAGCTCATGGGGAAATAACTAGAATCATATCTATTAGAGCACTTGGGATTTCATATAGGTTGCCTTTTAAATTTATATGTATATATTTGGGGGTCTTAGCATATTAAGTTTAGTGCTTATATTTTTGCACTATATGACCTTAGTGTTACCACTTTGATTAAAAACAAAGAATATATTTAATAATATTAAATCAATATTCTTGTTGTAAAATTTAAATTTTCATGAAGACAGCTCTGGAGTTAAGCACACTATTTTCCTCATCTTTCAATATATAGGTTCTCTATATATTTTGTGATCTCCCTATTGAGAAATAGTCCTGTGGCTAAAGAGACAGCTTAGTGGTTAAGGCCACTGGCTGCTTTCCAGAGGACCCAGGCTTGCTTCCCAACACCCACATGGCTGCTGACAATCATTCTTAACTCCAATTCCATAGAATTTGATGCACTCTTCTGGCCTCTGCAGGTTTACACGTAACACACAGTGCACTTACATATATGTAAGGAAACACTTATACACATTTAATAAAAATAAATAAAGAAAAAGAAAAAGAAGTAGTCTTGACTCCAATTAAATTTTTAATGCAGATGAATATAGGATAAAATGCTGCTTCCCAATATGAATTTAGTTTAAATATTTTAAGAGATGTAAGTGCTGTATACTATGTTCAATTGAGAAGAGGGTGGCAACTTCAAAGATGGAAGTAATTAATTGAAAACCTAATTTGTAAATGTTAATGCTTCAGCAGTATTTTGTGTTCATTTAGAGCTTACATAGTTCATGGGGAATGGGATAATTTGGAAAAAAATCTTAGCTCTTATTTTCCATTGTCTATATTCTTCCAAATGTAACACAAACATATTTTATGATGTTTTTATTCTTGTCCCTTTTTCTCTTTTCCACGTGATGGATATGGACATCTTTTCATACTTGGGGAAACTGTTTTTCATATTTTTATTTTAAGCATATTATTTATTGAGAGAAACTCTGTCCTTTTTTTGTTTTGTTTTTGCCACACTGTTGATTGAAACCAGTGCCTTGTGTGTGTGTCAGCCAAGCACTTGACCACTGAGCTACAGCCCTAACAATATTATTATTCTTTCTTTAAAATTTTTATTGAGTTTTTGAGATTTCCATACAATATAATTTGATGTTATTTAGGTCACTTCCCCTATTATCACACCTATAGAGTCTAACTTCTGTCCCCAAATATCTCTCAGTGTGGGTCCATCCATTGGAGCTGGTTAACCTATCAAGAGCCCCATCCTTGAAAGTGACTGTCTCTCCTCCTTCCAGCAGCCATGATTACCAAAATTTCCTTAAGTTGGGCTGGGATTTCATACTCACTTCCCCATATCCATGCTGGGATTTTTTTCTGGTTTGAGATTGCATGGGTCTTGTGCATGCTGCCACTATTTCTGTGAGTTCATATGATCAGCTGACTAGGTTTCTGGAAAGCTATTTCCTTGTAGTCATCCAGAGCCTCTGGCTCTTACAGTCTTTCCACCACCTCTTCCACAATGATCCCTGAACATGGGTAGCAGAAGTTTGATAAAGGTCTCTTATTCAGGGATAAGCACTTTGCAGCCTCTTATTCTCTGCACATTGACCAGTTGTGGGTTTCTGTGTTAATCATCATTTGCAACATAAGGAAAATTCTCTGGTGAGAGTTGAGGGATGTGTTAATGTGTGGGTTTAACAATAAGTCATCAGTAATTTAATAGTATAAATATTCCTATTCTTATAGGGGAACTTTGCCCAGCAGATTTTTTATAAATCAAAATTAAAGTAAATACTTAATAGGTATGCCCCAAACTATAAATGTTACGTTTGAATTAATATTCTATGTTCAATAAAGTCTGAATCATTATTCAGAACTTTATTCTTATCATAACCCTAACCAATATTCTGCTCTTAGAAGCCATGCTTGATCACTTTGATGGTATTATACTGTATATACAATAGTATAATATTTCTTTAATGCAAAATGACTCTTAAATAACTCGGTACTCCATCTCTTAACATTTGCTTTGAGTAAAAGTTAAGAGGATGGTTTCCACTCTGTTAATACCATTACTTGCAACTAACCAAATTGCCCACTATTTTTCCTTTGCAATGTAGTATGCACCTGAGGATATAATCGAATATGACTATGAATATGGGGAAACAGAATATAAAGAGGCTGAAAGTGTAACAGAGACTCCCACTGTAACTGAGGAAACAGTAGCACAAACAGAGGTAAAAAAAAGACGTGTCTTTTGTGTGTGGTGTCTCGTTCTTCATCATGCTGTGGTTCCTTGTACCGATTGTCCTTCAAAAGTACCACCACATCTTTCATTTACTTATGTTTCTGTGAGTTACTAACTAGGATTTTATTTGACAGTGACTGCCCTGAGGAATGCTGGCTGCTTTGCTTTTGTGTGTCCTTCCTCTCTTTCATGATCTTTATTTCTCTTTTTACTATGTGTTTTCCATTCCGTCTTTCATCACGTTTTACAGAAAAAGAAATCCAGTTTCACAAAGAAGACGAAGACTCTGGCCACTAAGTCAAAGGAAAATTCTAAAAAGTTCACACTCCCAAAATCTGAAAAAATTGCATCAAAGAAGAAGAAAAATTACCAGGCAGCAGCAAAAGCCAAACTAGGGGTCCAGGTAGCAATGAAAAAGCAATCAAGATCTGTCCTGGATGAGCCGGAAGATCTTTGATGATGAGTCTTAGTCTTAACCCAACTAGATAAAATACTTATTTGGCTAATACTGTAACCCAGTTCAATCACCATTATCATGTATTTGAGCTTACTTTACATTTTCACTACTCATTCCTCTTCTGACTTTTTCATTAGGCAAATATTGTGGATGATTTTGAAGATTACAACTATGGAACAATGGAGCCATACCAGACAGAATCTCCTAGGCGTGTAACTGGATCCAATGAGGTAATAAACTTGAGCACCAATAAGTCAGAGTGCAGCTTTCAAAATGTCTAAAGTATTTGATGTAATTCCTGCTGGAAGGATTCATAATCTCTGAGATCTTTGGGTTTTCAATCTTTTACTAAGAGGTGAGACACAACCCCATTGGTTCACAGTTACTAAAAACTCTGCATTTGAAATCCATATCAGTTCAGGTTTTGCATGACATTTTGGCTGCATGCAAACACCACAGTCAAACTGAACTGGCTTCTATCATTTTCTTGATTGTTTGTATAGCTAAGCAAGCTTTTCAACATGTTACAAAGAATGTTCATATTATCCCTCCATGAGAAGAATTCTCTGATGTGAAAATTGTACCATCAACACATACAAATAGCATTTTGTCCCATCATTCATTTTAATGACAGCAAGCTTTTAATGACAGCAAGCATTCTTAGAAAATGTAGTCTTAGATTTTAATAGTTATTTACATTTAAAAATTGTTTATAATGTAATGTTAGTTACTGTCAAAACAATATATTCTAACCATTCAATTGTTTTCTATGAAAATGTTTCAAATAGGATAGGTCTGAATAAGTCCTTCTGAATTTCATATTGTGTATGCCAGAAATTTCATTAAACTTTGTTAAATATCTGGCACATCTTCTTCAGACTATTACCAAAAGAAGAATTAATAATTTAATTTTTTAAAATTTATATTAAATGTGTCTCAATGAAGCAGATAAACTCAATAATAATTTTAACAATAACACACAATTTAGAATAATAAGCATTTAGGGTATCAAAGGATTATTAATTGATCTAGTCTCAATTAATCATTTTTCTATAAAAGGTTATCTTTACTCAAGATGTTTATTTCCAAACTAAATTCATACAGCTCTTTTACTTGAGGGTCGTAAACATAATCAGATGATATGTAAGATGTAACCACCTATAGAAGTATATATTCCATGTTTAGAATAAAAGCATATGATTATTGAGCTGCTTTGCCTAACTTTAAGTAATAAATTACCTGCATATTTTTATTCACATAATTTATATAACACTATTTCCCTGTTACCTATGTTGTTTTATCATAGAGAACAAGCCATTTTAAAATGTAATTCAAAGCTGGGCCTGGTGGCGCATATCTATAACCACAGCACTTGGGACGCAGAGGCAGGTGGATCTCTGTGAGTTCAAGGCCACCCTGGTCTACATTGTGAGTTCCAGGACAGCTGGGGCTACAGGGAGACCCTGTCTCAAAAAGATACAAAAAATAATAATTTAAATGGCCACAAGATAATTTTATTTAAACCTGACCATAATCATAATGCATTAAATTAACATAATGAATGATCTATATTTGTGTTCTTAATTAGGAATTAGATAATGGGAAAAGAAAATTAAAAAAGATTTATTAGGAGACATTATTGCTATAATTTTGCTTTTCATCTTTATTAATTTATGATATTTTACACTAATATTTTCTATTCAATTGTCTTAAATGTGGGGGAGTGTAACTGTTATAATAAGCATTCTTCAAGTGAAGAATACATTGTCATTACAGTGACAAATTTTTCAAATACTGATATTAATATTTTACTTATGGACCTGAATATCAAACTACATGGCTTATCTTTGTAACAATTGAAGTTTACAATAATTTTCTATGAGATTTCAAAATCAAGCATAATTTAATCATTCAAATCTTACATTATAAAATAAATGCCTAGTTGATTAACACATTTTCTCCAGTGAAAGTAAATACACATGTGGACTCCATGTGAATATTTGCAGTTTATGGGGAAAAGTGTTTTGAAAGCAATATTTCTTGTACATGCCAATGAATGTACAATTATATTTCTTTCAATGTAACTGAAAAGCCTCCTTTCCAAGCCTTCAGTCCTGCTTGAGTAATAAACTCTCTTGTCACATGGCATAGAGCTGTAATTACAAATGCTCACCTTGCTTTACTAACAGTAAACTTCATGTTCTCCAATTCCTTGCAACTTAAATGAATAGCCAAGTCCAGTTGAAGAAGGTTTTACTGAAGAATATCTAACTGGAGAGGATTATGATCCCCAGAGGAAAATTTCCGAGGATACGCTATATGAAAACAAAGAAATAGACGGCAGGGACTCTGATCTTCTGGTAGATGGAGATTTAGGCGAATATGATTTTTATGAATACAAAGACTATGAAGAAAAAGCAACAAGTTCCCCTAATGAAGAATTTGGCCCTGGTGTCCCAGCAGAAACTGATTTCACAGAAACAAGCGTAAGTCAGCAGTAGGCTCTGTGTCACTGTGTATGTCTTATATTGGGGGAGTTTCCATGTTAATCTTGATGTCTTTTCGTGTTTAAAATGTAGGTTGAGTTTTACGTAGCTTATAGACACTAGACATTTCTTGTTGGCTGTGGTAAATTCTTCCTGATGGGAGGTTGTCTTGGGCACCCTACTGAACTCTTCATTTGAAAGTATCATTTTAAATAGAATTGGACCTCCAATTTCTCATCATTGATATGTTTTTCCATTATTATTCTATTAGATGTAGTTTCAGATTTTTAGACTATATTGCAGATTTGGGTGTGATTTCTTTTGTCTTAGAATACAAATTGAGGTTACAAATGCATTTATCTTTCTTGAACCTAAAGAAGCAACATTTAGTGTTTCTGTTTACTTGGCATTATTAATATCTTTAAAATTTCTTTTGCAAAATGCACACATTCTAAAAGATTGCTTTAAATAGTCTAGATGATTAAACTTCTTTTATTAAAATATTGAAAATGGCTTTAGTTATTTGAATATTTTTTGGCTGTTTTCAATTTTTCATCAACAGATAAATGCCCATGGTGCATATGGAGAGAAGGGTCAGAAGGGAGAGCCAGCAGTGGTTGAACCAGTAAGTACTGACGTGGATACACTTTAAATAGTGGTACAGTTGTTTGTGAACTATCATTGCCTTAAATCACAATGTATATCCATGTACTTACCTTAAAAGTTCTGATGGTATAAAGTTTATAATTTTCCACAAATAAGTCAGTAATACCTTCCTAGAAAGTAAGATTTCAATTAAAAAAAACATAGATTTGTGGAATCTTGGAATTCAAAAGTGGCTGACACTTGTCCAGCTTAATTTTCTGCTTTTACAAATAAAAATGTGATGTTTAAATACTGCATGATTTTTCTGAAGTTTCCAGTGTCACATGTGGTGGCTGAGATGCAACATGGCTAGTTCTTTTTATTTCCAATCTAAGATTTTACTCTATAATTTTTACAGTTACCACATTAGAAATATATTATTTGATGTAGATACTTATTTGTCTGATGCAAACTGTACCATATGATAATAAAACAAAGTAAATATAGATGAAAATGAGAGAGATTTGAGGGAGGGATGAACAGGAATAGTAGGAAGTGGGGGGCGAGTGTGTCAGTATGTGTGATGTGAATGTGAGAAATTGTAAACATTAAATTCATCCAGCAACTTAACTGTACCTACTCCTTTATGTAGAGCTCTGGATCATACTTTCCAAGTATGGTTCTTTCATTTCTTTTAATGCTATTATTACTAATGATATTGTTAAGCATTGCGTATTGCCTCAGAAGCATTTTAAAACAGTTCTCATTAAACAGTAACTTAGGAAAATGAATGCATTACACATGGAGGTTGTATGTTTTGTTGTTCACCTCAGAGACACGTAAGTCTTTCAGAAACGACAAGGAAATAGAGATTGCAAAATAAATATAAAGGTAAAATTGAAGAATAAGTACAATGTGATGGGCTTTCCCACCCATTTGCTCCATTATGCAAAATCTGAGAACAAAAACATCAGTTTTCCAAGGCACTTTTTCCCCACATTCAACATTAATTTGTAAGTTTTTGCTAATTTGCTACCTTAAAAGTCACATTCGTCACAAGTTTCAGGTGTAATTTAATCATAAACTTTATGCAGTAATGAGCTCTTTTTCCTGAGACTGTTCTGTTCTATCTTATGTCATAGTTTTTGCAGACTGCTAGACTAGACTGCTCTTCTCCTTTCTGTAATACAGTGCCTAGGTACCACTTTCATTCATTCATTCATTCATTCATTCACACAGCATATATTAATAAAGCTCCTCTTTTTGCTGGAGAAACCTTGGTCAGATGTCTTCTCTGTACTCATCTCATGAACACTTGGTATAGTCTTTCTCTTTGGTTATATTTGTCTGAATATTTACCATATATCCAATTAGTTCACAGATTCCAAGACAGCAAGAACCACATCTTTTACATTGTTTTAAACTTATTCCCTTTCCCAAGTAAACCTATTTGTAAATGTTTTACACAATACAAATACATATAACTTTGTAAAGTGCAGTGGGTAGTGTTTTCTTGTAGTCAGTTAAGAGACTAAAGTTTACACTGTTTTCTTCTCTTACAGGGGATGCTTGTTGAGGGACCACCTGGGCCAGCAGGACCTGCGGTATGAAATTGATTTTTAATTATTGTCTCGATTTATAAAATTATTCAGTATAAGGTTTCTGTCATAATATGGGATTGGTATACTTTAAACTAATTTGAGCTCTACAGGGAAACATTCAAGCACGGAAACTGGTAGAACTGAACTGTTTTATATTTATTAATTCTTTGAAAAATTTAATACAATGTATTTTGGTCATATTTATCCTCTTTGCCCTCAACTCCTCCCTCACGATACTCTTGACAGGACTGGAATTACAATTTAAGTTTTTTTTTTTTTTTTTGGTGTTTATGTGTCTCTCTACTGTGTTTCATGTTTTATCTTTGGTTTTGTGTGTATGGTGTGTGTTGGTGTGTGTGTTGGCGTGTGTGTGTGTGTGTGTGTGTGTGTGTGTGTGTGTGTGTGTGATTTCCCACTTCTGGAATTCAAAGCCAGCTACACACAAGAGTCTAGGGATTCTTCCACCTTTGCCTCCCATATTGCATGTGATTGCTGGAATTACAGATTTGTGCTCCTGTGTCCAGCTGTAAGTGAGTTCTAAATATCAGAACTAAGGGCCTCATGTTTGCCTGGCAATCGCTGTACACATTGAGCAATCTCTTTGGCCTAAAGGTTAATTTTTCTACCAGAAATTTATTTGAGAAAAAAGAAAGTTATTTATAATTCAGCTTTTGTTTTTGAGGCAGGGTCTCAGTGGCTGTGCAGCTCAGGCTGACCTGGAATTCACAATCTTGCCTCTGCCTCTTGATTGCTGGGGTTGTAAGTTTATGCTACTATTCTGGGAAGCTTCTTTCTTTTTTAAAAAAAAAATAAGGAGGTATTTGTACTTTGGTGCATGGAATCAAAAATTCTGTATAGACAGCTGGTGTCTGTACTTCTACATAAGATAATTATCAGATTGCTTCCTCACTTCCAGGTGAGGTAGTCACCACTCAGTGTGCCACGTTCAGGTAGCTTAGCTGTTTAGACTTTTGAAGGAATCCTTTGTGTGTGTGTATGTGTATGTGTTTCTGTGTAATAATTAAATTTTTGATATGTAAAATAAAATATGATATTGATGCTCTTAAGTACTTTTAAAACCAAATATTAAAATGCTGTCACGCTAAGTGATTTCTCTATTTTCAACCTTACTACCACAGTTTTGAAGCCTAATCTTATGAATGACCATTTCTTCAGGAAGCATTCCTGACAGCTTCCACCTAAGGAACTGTCGTTAGCGTGCTCTCCTTTCCTGTTTTTAGTTGCGTTTCCCTCTACCCTGAGCACAGCCTAATAGAGGAGCTGTTGTGCTGGTTACAGAGCATTTCTTATATGTTGTATTTTCATGGGAAGTTAAAAAGGGCAATTATTTGGGAAACAAGATTATATTTATGAAATATAAATGAGGTGCCTTTGATTTTAGGAAGATGAATTTGCCTGAACATTAATGAGGTGGAAAACTGATTCTGGTTTGTTTCTCTGCAGGGTCTTATGGGCCCTCCAGGTCTCCAAGGCCCCTCTGGGCCCCCCGGTGACCCTGGTGATAGGGTAAGTTGAAGGATGGTCACTTTACAAAAGCAGGAAACAGACTTAAAAAAAAAAAACAACTAGAGCATATTCTGCAACTTAATCTGTTGTCCTTGTGTTGGGAGCAGTAGAAGTGGGAAGTTCACACATTCAGGGGATAGTTTAGTTAACTTTGCAGACTTAAGTGAGGATAAAGGATTTATTTGTGGTAAGTCTTCAATTTCCCTATCTACGTGAACCGTTACAATGGATTCAGTTTTTCATATTTGAGTTCAAATTATATTTTCTTGAGATTCTCATAGATAGTTGAAAGCTCTTAGAATATGTTAAGAAACATAAGAACTTAAAGGTCAAGGTCTGGGTTCCATGATGCAGTAGGTCATTTGTGTGTCATTCTCATCTCTGCAAACTCCTCTTGTACAGCACAGTTTCTCCTTTTCTCTCATCTACAAATAACAATGTTTTTCCTTTTGCTCTTTTAAAAATAATGGATCAGAAATGCAGTTAATTCTTGCCTTTCATGTATTCATGATTTTTAAACTCAAAATATTTTTATTTACATTTAAGGAATAAAGCTTTTAACCACTTCAGGAATTCTTGTCTGGATGAGAGACTAAATTAAGGTGACATAAGCTACATATTAAGCAGTCTTCATTTTCCTTACGTGGGCTGCTTCTTTCATTCATTTTGATGGAGTTATTGCTTTAATTACACATTGCATGGATATGTGTGTGCAGTGTGCCTGAGTATGCGTGCATGTTCCCATGTTTGTGGGCACTCCTGTGTATGGGAGAGTGCATACACATATGTGGGATTGCATGTGTGAGACTGAGGTTGATCCTGGGTGTCTCCCTTAATTGCTCACTATTTTCTGTATTGAGGCATGGTCCAAAGCTAGCCACTTTGCCAAGGGGACCTTCAGTCTTAGTCTGTGATTATAGCCAGGTAGCTTTATCTGTCCAGAATTTATATAGAAGATGGGAATTTGAACCCAGTTCTTCACAATCGGATGGAAAATGACCAGCAGCTAGCCCATTACCCATGGAACCATCTTCCCAGGTCCAGAATGTTAATATTTCTTTTTATAAATAATTTTAATTGGTATTTTCTTATTTTTAAACTACCATTTTTTCAGAAGACTTTCAATTCTGTAATTTATTCACCTTCAAACAGTATTCCTGGTTTTCATCACATCTCTACACTGTATTTGAGAATACAGACAATTTATCCAATGAATTTGCAAGTATTTCATTAAATAGAAATTATGCCTATTATGTTAGGTTTTTTTTTTTAGAATATGAAGAGTGGTTTCTTTATAGAGACCATTGTATAGACTTTCAAGTTCTTTCAAGCATGTGGCGAACTCATTTAAATTATGTTTCAAGAAAAATATCTTGCCTGTTTGAGTCACTCTTCACTCTTTTCTGAGTGATTCTTCTTGTAAGTTAACATTGAAAATTGATGCTGCATTTCTATATGAAGTAGATCGTTTGCATTGTATTCTTGCTCCTTTTATTGCTAAATATGACTTAGCTCTATAGAAATACTCTTTTATTGAAGGCTTATGGAAATATACTTCATATAGATGTAATACACTCACACATAGATTTCTATGTATACAATATTCTCTGTGATCACATACATCTGTGTTATTATCATATGCAAATTTCTACATATACATGTATGTACACATATACGTATTGAACTTATGAGTGATTATTATAAAATTAAATATTCTTTTTATCATGTTAAGCTTAGTGATTTTATTCATAAAGTATGTGTTTAAATATGATAATTTAAATTAATTAGAGGATATGTTTAATTTATGTATTTGATACATTAAATAGATATTATCTAAGTATGTATTAAATAATACTTAATTTAGATTGATTCATTAACTCTCTTAATTGTAGGAACCTAGCTTTTTCCCTTTTTGTCTGCACACCGATTCCTCTCCAGAAAATCTAGGAAGTCCTTATGCAGTTTTAAGCTGAAAATAAAGTGTGAACAGAATCAACATCTTACTTTGATTGTACATTAATAAACACACATTATTGGGGCTGGAAAGATGACTCAGCGGTTAAGAACACTGACTGTTCTTGCACAAGACCTGGGTTCAAATCCCAGCACCCAATGGCAGCTAGCAACTGTCCGTAACTCCAGTTCCAGGGAATCCTACAGCCTCTTCTGTCCTCTGTGGGCATTGCATGACATGGGTGCACTTACCTACATGCAGGTAATACATGCATACACATAAAATAAACATAATAAATAAAATATAAAACAAATAAATAAACACATGTTCCTTCAAGCTAGTACAATGTCAGGCATCCTATCTAGGTATATTTACCTAGAGGAGGTCAACTAACCTGAAGATGGTGGATGCAAATGAGATACAGAAAACTCAGCGATTACAAGTTACTCTGCTTTACTATATTTTATTAATTTATTTTGTTGATTTTACTTCCTTTCCTAGGGCCCTCCGGGACGTCCTGGTTTACCAGGAGCTGATGGTCTACCTGGTCCTCCTGGAACTATGTTAATGTTACCGGTAGTCTTTTTTTTTTTTTTTTTTAAAGCTTTATAAAGATGATTTTTTATCTTGTCATTATGTAACTGAAAAATCCTATTTATAGAATCATTAGCTAGAAACCATTCTGTAATTTAGAGGTACATGAAATCAAGGGGAAATTTACTGAATAAAACTCTGACAAACATCAATCTCTGCACCGAAGGCTGTGTTTCAGTCTTTGCCTATTCTTGGTTAGTGAAGTTTTTGTAGTATTTCTAATCCTGTAGAAATCCAGGTTTTCTATATTAGTTAGCACAATATTAGTATACTTTTTACCTCACTGCTGACTATCATTGGAAACTTTTTAAAGAAGTCTTTCACGTCTTTATTCATTTCTCAAGAATGATTTATTTTAATATTAACTCTCATGTAAAAATATTACCCTAGTGCTAATGAAAAATGTATTAATCGGTTTAAATGCAATAAAGTTTAAAAAAATAATTAAAGTAAAAAAGTAACTCACACTACATTTCAAGCTAAAAATTTCATCAGAGCCTGAGAATTTTATAGAGGAATATAGTGTGGAACTGCTCAAGAATGGTCAAGATAACCATAAGTGTGTGTGTGTGTGTGTGTGTGTGTGTGTGTGTGTGTGTTGTGCACATGCTTGTGTATGTGTCTGATGACCCATTATAGAATTACTTTGGACTTTGGTAAAATAGTACCTTTTTAAGTAGATTGTAATATAATGCTTAAGGGACCTAGTTTCAGCTATTTGTCAGAGACCCATTTTGAGTTTCTGTTATCTGCTCCTAGTTCCGCTATGGTGGTGATGGCTCCAAAGGACCTACCATCTCTGCTCAGGAAGCCCAGGCTCAGGCAATTCTTCAGCAGGCTCGGGTAAGAACAGATGAACTCTGATGACTTCATTTATTGTGAAATAGGAGTGTGTATGTCTGAAATGTGATTCTATACAACACATGCAATTTATGTGGAGAGTCCTAAAAATGTATGGATCTTTCCAGTAATGACACTTGTCAATTGAATATCTTCTAACTGGCCCTTGTATTTCTGCATTTAATGTTGACATAAAATTCAATTTTTCAACAAAATCTTGAGAGAATTATAGATAGCATTCTCTCTTTCACATCCTGTTTCTCTCTGCTGAAGCACAGAGTGGTAACTGTAGAAATAATTATGAGAACACAGTATGAAAGAAATTTCTTTCTTTTACTATGGAAGAGATAATTACTCTTGATTTTTTTTATTTTCAACTAGTTTTATTGCCTTAAAATTAACACAAAATCTCAGACAATAAAAAAGAAAGTAATCACAAGTTGTTTAATGATTTTATTCATATTATTATATTTCTTTTTGAGGAAGAGAATAAACATAAAATTTATGGTTGTATAGTTATGACAACAATATCCATATTATTTCCATGATAACTTTAATAGTAATATTTTTATGTACATATAAAATATGAATTTGTAATTGAAAGCATTAGCTCATTTCAGTATTTGTTCATTTTCTTCTTAAATCTGATAAATATTATTTGGTTATATAATGTTGAAGAATAATGAGAACATGGATTTATTAGATATTGGCATACTATACATATAAAGGTATTCATGTTCACCAAGTAATGATTCCTACAATTATTCTTATAAATTATTTGTTTGAAAGCATTTTTTGGATTAAAGTTTTTGAGCTTTTGTGATTTCATACAACAGTTCTTAATCAAATTTAGAACCCCTCCCTCCTCCATAACTGATTAAATTACTGAAGTAAGTTTATAAGTTTGTGTACAAGTTGTAACTGTTTAGGATCACACAGGAATTTCTAGCAACTTGCCTTTCATCATCAAATTTCTATTCACTCTGGCACATGCTTGTTGCTTTGTTATTATGTACTGTGTGGAAGTGACTCATTCATTACAATATAGCTCCAAGATAGCATTCCTGAACTTAATCTGTCTTGTCTTCTAGATTGCTTTGAGAGGCCCTCCTGGCCCAATGGGTCTAACTGGGAGACCGGGTCCTGTGGTAGGTTATTCAGAAATATATGATAGATTTTCTAATTATTATATCTTTACATGTATTCTTCTAGAAAATGTTCATACCTCTGACTAGGTAATCAATCATGACTAATATTTATTTATTTATTTATTTATTTATTTATCATTAAATTATTTATTTTTATTTTATGTGTATGAGTGTTATGTCTGCATGTGTGTAAGTGCACCCCTCTCATGCAATGCCTTTGTAGGTCAGAAGAGGGTGTCAGATTCCTTGTAACTGGAGTTATGGACAGGTGTTAGCTGCCATATGGGTGTTGGGATTTGAATCCAAGTCTTCTACAGGAATAACCAGTGCTCTTATCTGCCAGTCCCATATATTGATTCCTTTTAAAGTCCCTTCCAGTCAGGTTTTGATAATTCTGATCAGGAGCTTTTATCAACGTTCTTCTCAAATTAAATACATAGAATAAAAATGTATTTGAGTCACATATCCAATGTCAATTACTTGAGGTATATATATATATAATTAATTTGCATAATCACTTAATAAAATGAAATTCTATTATATTAAATTCTTAAAATTTAATTTTATACAAAATAAAGTTCTCACTTTATTTGAAATATATTTGAAATCTTTGATAATTATTGAACAACCCAAATGGCCAGCAATATAGTTGATTTAAACTACCAACTGCCCTCTTCTTCATGGGTTGCTTTTACATACATATTACTTGCTCTAATAGAGACACTTGAAAAAGAGACACTTCAGTCACAAACAAGCATGCTGATGAGCTACGTCAACGATGTTTTTCTAAAATAGCTTGATATAGTTTGAAATTTATGTGATGTTAGAGAGTGTAATAGTTTACAAATAGAAAATCTATGCCCTGCATTTCATATACTGCAGAGAACAAATCATAGTTAAAGCAAAATTTTTTTCTAATTTTAAAATGAATGAAACTTATACTCTAGTTTAAATATTTGTTAATATGAAATTCATATTTTGCACTTTTATGTGATGCTGTATGCTTTCAGTATATTTTCTTGAAGAAAGCTACACTGGGAATGTATAATTCTGTTTTAATTTTCAACTTTCGTTCTCAGTGATTAATTTTTGACAATTCTCTTAATTTGAAAACTTTGTATACACAAATCAAATATTCCATCAGAGTTTTCACTTACTTCTTGTTTCTGAGATTGTTCAAATTTTGATAAAGAGATCCATTTTCTCTTAAAAGCTAGCATGCTAGGCTGGGGATATAGAGCTGTGGTAGAGCACTTGCCTAGCAGGCAGGAAACCCTAAGTTCAATTCCTAGCACAAAACAAAAATGTAACACTGCAGATAAAGTGTGAATAACTTTTCTATAATAAACTCCTGACAAGTTTATGATATCATGTTTGTAAAAATACTAGTAGTTCACTTTCTTTTTAATAGTTTGCTGTTTTGTGAAGTATTTTTTAGTCTTTGATCCCATCTAATCTTTATAACAAGCACCTGGGAGAGATAACCCAGGTCCCATTACATCTATCTTACACATAAAATGGGTTTACTGAGATAAAAATGGAATGGATAATTCTAATAATTAAAGCTTATCTGTTTTTAGTAGATACATATTAGCAAAAGCTATTACATTTTAATCAAATTTGAAAATAAAGTTCATGTATTCATATGTAAAATATTCTGATACTCTGCTCACTAGAACTTAGATTGTACATACTTCTAAATGCCTTATCAGATTTTTGTTATGTTTTTTCTTTCTGTTCTGCCTTTGAGAATACAAAAATAAGGACACTACAATCTCACTTATAGAGGAGAAAGCAAAGTTAACATAACATATATTTGCTTGGTAGTTACTCAAATGTGTATGCATGAGGAAAGTAGGTAGGGTTTTACAAAATTTTGTGACTGAGGAGCTGCTTTTTTATTGGACACAGGGATTGGACATTTCTTTTAGTGGTAGAACACTTGTTAAACAAGTATAATGTTTTGACTTAGTTCCTAGCTCTGAAAAAACAAAAAACAGAAACAAATAAAATACAAAATGAATTCACAAAATAAACATTTCTTAATCCTAAATGTGAGACTCTGAGCTGAAACTTCTGAATGAACCTGATGATTGTGGCCTTTTGTGTTGTGTTGTGTTGTTCTGTTTTGTTCTCTGTTCCTGGCCTGGAACTTGCTACTGAGACCAGGATGGCTCCATCTTATGGAGACCCACCTGCCTCTGCCTCCCAAGTGCTGGGATTAAAGGCACATGATTTTACTGAGTGCCCATATTTAATATTATGATCAATCATGTTTGGAAAATTGTACTTTATGGTTATCAATCCAGGCTCTTATCTCTAAAACTGTATTATACAAAGGAATTTCATTCCTTACTTATGTTGGCAAACACAAGAAAGGGGATCTGTCCAGGGTAGGGCATTGATGAGAAGAGGCTAAGGGAGCATGCCCTGGTGACAGTTCTCGACCATGCATGGGGGCCTGTCATTTCTATCACACATTGACAAAGAGAAAACAGTGTAAATATTCTCAATGCCATAGTCAGGATTAGCTGATTTTATTTACTTTTCTGTAATTGAACGTTTTAGTTTCCTCAAAAATTAAACATAGACATGGAGGGAAAAATTCTCTGTGTCTTTTCTCCATTTTCCTCTAGCTTTCTTTGAAATAAGCATTCTTATTACAGTCTTTCAAATATTTATTAATTTTAAATTTTAAATTTGTTTTCTCCATTAAGATTTAGAAATCAAGTTTGCATAAGCAGTTTAACATACATGCATGCAGTCTTCCACTGAAAAATTATTTTATGTAATGGTTTTTATCTAGTCATTGCTTTGGATAAATTAAGATCTATGGTACAAAATATACACAAAAGATAGAAAAGGTATTTCCTGTCCATATTCTGTAACTCTCAATTATGTGATAATTTTTAGAATAAGGGTAGGAGCAAAGTAATTATAATCTGTTGAACAGGTGGTGCTACCTACAGAAGATATAACACAGAAGATATAATTAAGCCAAATATTTGATACTCTATTCATTTCAGTGATTAGTACTACAAAATAATATACACTCTAGTTTTTTTCTCTTGCAAAAAGTTTTTTTGTAAGATGATTGAGTTAGTGGCTGGAGAGATGGCTCAGAGGTTAAGAACACTGAATGTTCTTACAGAAGACCCGGGTTCAAATCCCAGGACCCACATGGCAGCTAACAATTGTCTATAACTCTAGTTCCAGGGGATCCAACAGTCTCTTCTCTCCTTCGTGGGCATTGCATGACACAGGTGAACTTACCTACATGCAAGCAATACATGCATACACATAAAAATATAAAAATAATAAACAAAACATTATAAAAGAAGATTGAGTTGTTAAAAGATTAATAGTGATCGTTCTTATTTGGAGGATTTGAAAATTCAACATGACTTGTCACATCTCTCGGTAGACAGATGAGAAGTTGTTAACTTTGATGCCACAAGGAGGCTCTAGAAAGCTTTTCAGTTTGAGCAAAATTTTAATCTCTGTTTTACTTTGTTTTAACCTAGTAGAATGTGCAATGACTTAAATAAACCAGGAGCCTCTGGAACATCCAAAGTATGAAGTGTACCATCACCACCATATTCATCTTTATTGTTCTAATACTTTTAGGGAATAGGTATGCCCTACTATATGTTTTAAAATTTCATAATTCCTATATAAAACAATTTATTGGTTTTGTTTTCTCCCAATTATTATGACAGGCTTTCTTTGCACTATTTAAATTATATAAACATCTGTGAAACCTATTTGATATAATTAGTAATTTTTATGAGGAAAAAGCAATCTTAAGAAAAACGCTTTAATGATATTTCAAGATAATTATAATAACAGCAATAGCATCTGTCCAAAAAACTGTATAAAATTCAGCACCTGAAAATATCTGGTTATACAACCTTCAATTTTTCAAAATCCATACTTGTAAATAAACTCAAAGTTCACTGAAAATATAACTCGGTGATTCAGTAAAAATATGCTGCCGTAATAGTATACCACAGTTCAATGATGATAATGCCTTCCTTCACCTCATTTTTTTGAGTGATCACATATTAAATAAAATTTCAAAATTTTCAAGCGTGATTTCATGGTTGGCTTGTTTGTGGTTGAGTGGAACATAGGCCTTTAAATACAGCTTAGACATTGAAATGCAGTCGATATCCCTAGAAGAAAAGTACTTTTTGCAGAGGACATGAACAGCTCATTGTATAAAGAAGGTCATACTGACAAATCAAGAATATTTGCATATTTCAAGTGAAAATAGTAGATAAATGTGCTTAGGTAATTGCTAAGTTAATCAGTTATCTCCTTTCTTTTCTCTATAGGGTGGACCTGGATCATCTGGGGCCAAAGGAGAGAGTGGTGATCCAGGTCCTCAGGTAAGTTGGTTCTCAATAACTAAGTTAAACAGTATTTAAATTGTGGGTTGGAACAGGTTTGAAAGTAATAGGCCTCCACAGCACTTAGCTGGCGACAGATTGTGGGGAGCAGAGCAAAACAAAGCAGTGCTGTTCACAGGGGTCCTTTCTTCCTTTCTTATACCCTTGCTTCTTGGAGAGTAAATTAGCACATAGTCTCATAAAGATTGTTTAGCACACTTAAAAGAAGCTATTTAAGAACATTTTTAGAAATGAAAAAAATTAAGAGAAAATGTGAAGATGTAGGTAAAGTCTTCAAAATGGTTGTAGTTTATATTTAGATTTTACTAGGTTAGAGATGTTGCTAGTCTTTGAATAATAGGTGGACAGAGCTATTACATTATACAATCCACATACACTAGAAATCAACAAAGTTATAACTAATGTGATTTCAAAATACTTTCATTTTTAAATGAAAATGCTTCTGATGTATGAACAAATATAAATCTACATTGGACTACAGAAGTTTTTAATAGATTATCCCCTTATTTTCCTCCTTAATTTTTTCATTCACATTTTGATTTGTTTTGTATTTGGGTCTCCCTGCAGCCCCAGCTGACCTGGAATTCACTATGTAGACCAGGCTTGCCATGATCTCACAGAGATCTGCTTGCCTCTCTTCCTGAGTTCCTGGAATAGAGGGATGAGACTAAAGTGTGCCATCATGCCTGGCATTGCCGTATTTTAATTATATTTAGCAGTTGGCTTCAGTATGACACAGTCATACATGTATGTATATTTGATTATATTTATTCCCCATTACCCTGTTTTCACAACCTCCCACTGATCCCTTGGTCTTTCCAAATGGAATTAGATTTACTTAAAATTAAAAATAGTAATAGTACAATAAGTTTTTATTACCATAATAATTAGAACAGATTTCAAATATACTCACACCAAACAATTTCTTAATATCACTCCTTTACACTCAAAACCTTGAGTAATCCCTAAATACCAGCTAACTACTGATCTGTTCTTTATCACTCCAATTTTGTATATTTTCAAGTAATAACTTACAAGTAAAATTATACATTAAAAAATACAGACCAAAAAGAAATCATACTGTTGTTTCCTTTGACAGAGCATAAGGTTTTCAGATTCATTACACTTGAGTGCATCAACACCACACCATCTTTTCATTGTGCAGAAACAGCACAGTTTCCTCTGACAAAATCCAAAGATTGATCATTGTATTTTACCAATTTAGTATATGATGGCCTTCCTTTGGACGTGTTGTTAATGCTGCCATTGAAAGGATGGAAAACACTAGCTAGTTCACTGGAAATTACAGGAAAATATTAAAACACTACATAAAAATCTTGGGAGTTTATTGTTCCATGAACTTTATGAAGCTTTTAAAATTCAAACACATTTACAAAATGGATGAGTGTGAAAGCATGCTGTGGCATTGTTTGAGAATTTATAGTTTTTGTTGATTCCCTAAGGCCCCAAAATAAGTGATATAAAGAAGGATGTTTTCATTAAAGACAGGTACTATTTGTTGTGTTATTATTTCTCCTCTTCCCTTCCAGCTGAGTTCATGATAAAGCCCTCTCAAATCAACCATCTTTTTAGGTTCACTCTTCAGTCTCTGATTATTAGATAACCCATCCTTAATTTTTAGAGCAAATATTGTTAGCCTTCACTATGATAGAGCATTTCTCCATTTAAAAAGTGATTCTTAAGCATTTTGCACACAACTGAAGAATCGTGTACCAGGCAGTGTGCAAAGTTGTGGATGTATTTACTTGAAATAAATCTAGTTCAAAGCTTGGAGAGATAACAATCTAATAGGAGATTTAACTGTGATAAAAACTGATTAAAATCTATTGTGATAAGTGTATTGAAAAAAGTGTCTATGAGAGCACATTCAAAGAAGGAAAAGAAAGGCCAGGAGAGATGTCTTGGAACAAAACAAAACTCCAAAGGATGGAGCTCAGTCACTGGAATGCAAAATACTTTATTTTGAATTAAAATGAATAATTTGAACTTAAAAGTTTATTGATTTATTTTTTATATGTATGAGTGTTTTTCCTGCCTGTAAGTATACCCATGACATATAATTCCTACAGAGATCAGAGGAGTGCCACAAATCCTTTGGAACTGGGGTTAGCCTCCATGTGGGTGCTGGGAATCAAACCTAGGTCCTCTGGAAAAAAAAAGACTGTTCTCTTAACCTCTGAGTTATTTCTCCAACTCCTATCATAAGGTTTAGAAGTATATCATCATATTCATTTTGTTTAAATGTACACATCTGTATAAAACATTAAGTAGCATGGTCTCTTCTGTGAAGAGCCATTTAGGAAAATTGCTTTTCTGGCTTCTTCTTTTGAGAAATTTTGCACAGAAATAATCTCCTTGTGCTTAATGACTAAGAAAGAACATAGAGAGTATCAGTTTCTAAAATTGTCTTTTTTGAGTTATTAACCAAGATTTCTTCAAAATGATTTAAATCTTTTCATAAAGGGCCCTCGAGGTGTCCAGGGTCCACCTGGTCCAACAGGAAAACCTGGAAAAAGGGTATGGCTATTTTTACTTGTGTATTCTATAAAGTTTAGCTGAGCATTCAGTTTCTTTATCTTTGATAGCAGGAATCTGTTTGCTTAATCTTGCTTTGGGTGTTTTCAGGGGCGTCCGGGTGCTGATGGTGGAAGAGGAATGCCTGGAGAACCTGGATCCAAGGTGAGGAGTTCATAAATCTGTGTGTTCAGGCTGCATGTCAGTTTATTCTTGACAATTTCATATTTTAAGATAAAATTTATGTATATGAAATGATGCTTGATATTGAAATTCTAGTCCTGATATAGACTGGGAATGTGATGATAATAATGATTTTGATTTTACAGGGAGATCGAGGCTTTGATGGACTTCCAGGTCTGCCGGGCGACAAAGGTCACAGGGTAAGATATGTTTACTGCTTTTGTCCAGGGAGAATAGGAGTCTTATTATATAATTAGTATAGATATGTTTTCGAGAATCAGAAGAACAAAGTTTACATGAATATTGATGAATCCATTAAATAAATTAGTATATATAATGGATATTGGCAAAATACAGATACAGTTTTGCATGTGTTGTCAATGTAAGTTTTCTCATTGTCCTTAGACATGCCCGTAATCAGTGTATGCAAACCAACAGAGGCAGGGTCTTCATTCCCACATGTGTGGCAAAGATCTCATTAGTAGAACAGGTGTAAATATTTAAATGAGATTTTCATCCTTTGATAATTGTCTTAATCTTTACATCTTGTCTGTGGAAATAATGCAAAAAAGGACACGTGTAAGGAACATATCGTTAATATAATAATACACTGACAGGGTATTTTTTCTTTGTGATGATATGAATATACATTCTAGTGTGAGAGCACAAATTTGTAAGGTTAAAGAAGCCATTATGCTCAGTAGCCACCCACAAGATAATAACAGTAGCAACAGTGTGCGTGTGTGTGTGTGTGTGTGTGTGTGTGTGTGTGTGTGTGTGTGAAATTAAACAATGAAGTAACTTTAAAAAATGGGTTATTTGCATCTTTCTTCACTAGAATGAAGAATAAACCCAGGGCTACATTTGGGTAAATTGGAAAATAGAGAAAGAAAATAAAATTCTGTGAATGTGTAACAATATACCTTAAATATGCCTAATACATGTCATCATGCATATATAACTTTGGTCAAAGAAATCTAAAATCTTTTTGTCTTCATTTTATTGTACTGATTTATTAGAAATTGCTTAGAAGTAAAAATATTTTACTTTAAGACATCAGAGTGTACTCATGCATAAGATAATCATTAGGCAAGTTTTCTTAATTATTAACTTCGTTATAACTAAATGTCTAGAATGTTTTTAATATTTATTTTCTGTAAATAATTTTTATAAAATTTGAGGGAACATTTCTCCTAGCATACAGTATGGCAAGTTGGGTAGAGTTTACTGAGCTTTTAATATTCTGAAAAAGTGTAAAGAAACAGATCCTGTTGTGCCTGCCACGTGATGAACTCTTTTTGAACTTATTTTTAGCTTTTTAAAAAATATTTTAATTGAATTTTTGTGATTTCATACAATACACCTTAATCATATTTACCCCCCACTTGCCTATCTGCACCTCTCCATAGCCCACCACAGGACTTCATGCAATGTCATATATGTATCTTAAGGCCTATCGAGTTAAGTTTGTTTACCTAGATGTCCCTTGGTGTCAGCCTATGTATCACTACTCCCTTAAAGAAGATCAACTCTTCAAGCTCACTCAGCAGTAACCACCTGCCGATAGTGCCTTTCCAAAGTTGTGGTCTTCTGCCCATTTCCCCAGTTCTATGCTGGTTTGTGTCTGATTGAGTTTGCATGGGTATTTTGTATGCAGTCACCACTGCTGAAGTTTCATATGAGCAAGGCCCCAAGAGCATGTAAGACTCATTTCCTTGTGGTCAACCACCTTCTTCCCTTGACTTTTACAGTCTTGTGCAATGGTCCCTGAGCCCAGTATGGCTCAGGTTTAATATAAGAGTCCTGATGAACTTTTAAACACCCTGCTTATTTCTTATGCCTATCTTTTTGTCTTTATTCCTTAGGGGGAAAGAGGTCCTCAAGGTCCTCCAGGTCTTCCAGGCGATGATGGAATGAGGGTATAGCAAGACTTTATTTCTATAAGACATGTTTACAATTAAAACTTTACATCAGATGATGAATTCTCATCACTTTGCCCTCCTTTTTTGTCAATGACAGGGAGAAGATGGAGAAATAGGGCCCAGGGGTCTTCCAGGTGAAGCTGTAAGCAATTATTTTCTCTCTTTTTAAATATAACAATATATTTCTTGAGAAATAGTGACAGACATTGCTTATATAAAGGCAATGATAAACTCAGGTAAATATTGTTTTATACAAGCTATCCAGGTAATTGGACATAAAAAAATAGAATGCAGGGTCTGGTTGTGGTGGATCGTGCCATTAATCCCAGCACTTGGGAAGCAGAGAGAGGCAGAGAGATCTCTGTGACATTGAGGCCAGCCTAATCTGCATAGTGATTTCTAGGCCAGCTGGGACTAAAGGCAATGATAAACTCAGGTAAATATTGTTTTATACAAGCTATCCAGGTAATTGGACATAAAAAAATAGAATGCAGGGTCTGGTTGTGGTGGATCGTGCCATTAATCCCAGCACTTGGGAAGCAGAGAGAGGCAGAGAGATCTCTGTGACATTGAGGCCAGCCTAATCTGCATAGTGATTTCTAGGCCAGCTGGGACTACAGGAAGACCCTGTCTCAAAAAGACCAAGAAAAAGGATTGGAGAGATGGCTCAGTGGTTAAGACCACTGGCTGTTCTCGCAGAAGACCTGGGTTTCAATCCCAGCACCCACATGGCCGCTAACAACCATTCATAACTCCAGTTCCAGGGGATCTGGTGCCCTCTTCTGTCCTCCTCAGGCACTGCATGACACAGGTACACTTACAAGCAGACATAACACTCATACACATAAAAAAACACGTGTTCTCCTTGGCTAGGGTTATTAAGGAAAGTGGGGTATCTGGCAAATTGCTGGCACTGAAATTATTGTACCTTGCTAATTTATTGTTATTCAATGAATTCTGACATTGTAGAAAGACATCAACAGTGTTCATTCATGTTTCTGACATAGTAAACTCACAACACCTTTATTGGCACATTTTTTAAAAAACAAGGATGCTGGAAAGGAAATGTGCCATGTAATTTGCAGAGTCCAAGTCCCTGTGTCACAAGAACATAAGAGTGTGTTGGGAACTGAGAGTAGTTTACTACCTGTACACACATTATTAG